CGAATGTATCCACTCCTCTATACATTCATCCGGTAGCCATCCATCCTAATATCAGCCCATCTTCTATCCTTCCATCTATCCATCCATCCTTTCAACTAGCCATCCATTCAACCACCCATCCATTGCTCCCTTTCTCAATTCAATTAACCTTCCATCTCTCCATCCAGATCCCATCCTACCATCCATCCACTCTACATCCATCCTTTTATCCATTCCTCCATTTATGCATCCGCCTATTCGTCCGTGCAATAATCCATCCACCCATCCATCCATCCATTTCAACATCCTCCTCGCTTTCTTCCTCCTTCCATATACAAACTCATTCTTGATCACTCTGTATTGCACTGCTTTTGAAATCACTCACAACTGCCAATTTGTCACTCTCCCAGCAATTGGTGCCATCGTCTCACACAATCAATCAAGGCCACTGTCTCCTATATGGGAGGCAAAATCAGTGCAGCTTCTCCATCTGAAGCGTAGAGATGAAGACTGCACTCATCTTCGTCACCCTCTCTCTCGTCCTCTTTACCGCTTGGTGCAGCGCCGAACCTAAACTCCCCTCCGATGGAATTCATTACATGGATGTGTTAAGTGGAAGCGTTGAGAGTGCAGATTTCGAAGAAGAGGGGAAGGATGGAGAAGGCAAGGACGACAAACTCTCTGACTCGTATGACAGCGCAAGATACAAGTGGAGGGAACAACGCTTTGTAGGTTTGAAGTAAGATGGTGGAAAAGTGCGCAAATTTTCTCGTCTGTCCACTTATCAATTACATTTGTTGCTTTGCTTTAATCGAGTTCATTTAATAATTCCCCGGTGTTTTGTTCAATTTAATAAAGTATCCCACAAAATGACATTCTTGACCATATGGCTGGGTGAGAAGTGTAGAGTTTGTGGATTCGCCAAAATTGAAGCACAACTAGCAGTTGAGGCGTGTTGGATCGCGTACCAACAATGGTGCGAGGGAGGTAATTCCTGATTGTTTGAATCCACAGATCCATCACGTGTTTGTCCATACATGAACTCTTCCATCCACCAATCTATGTATTCATCTATCCAACAATCCATTTTATTCATTTTGTTTCCCCACCCACGCATTAAATCGTACTTTAATCTTTGATTAAGTTTATTCAATCATATTGTAATAAGTGAATGTTCATTTTAAATGGCTTCACTTTGTTTTATGCGACATATTCTCGCACAATCCGTCACGACCAACTGTATCTGCATAGCACGCATGAACTATGAATGTGTTGTATCAAAGACTAACAGAAGAAGACTCTGCTAGTCTTTGCCACGCTGTCTATAGTGTAGTTTGCTGCCTGGACGGACCAACGCCAGTCACAGTGGGCCTCATATTACTAAGCATTGCATGGAAGTGAAATGTGCATGTGAAAGTGGAAAGCACGCTGTCAGGAGAGTTAGCAGGGGTGGACACAGTTCTGCAGTTGATTTTGGTGATAAAGATGAAGGGGGCTGACTGAGTGAAATGCGACAATGGTGAAGATTGCTATGTCTGCACACACAATTCTGATGATAATTTGGAATAGCACGATAAGTGCGATGGTGAGATGGACGACGAGGAGAACGACTACAGCTGGTACTACGAGAAGGACTTATCTAAGTACACGCCAAAGTGTGTACTGCCTAAGGAAGTTGGAACAACGGAGATAGTGGAGAAATGAGCAAATTTAGCCGTCTGGTCACTTAACAATTCCACTTCTAGCCACTTCTCGATTGAGATCTTCCCATAATCACCGACTATTGTAATTCAACTAATAAAGTGGCTGACTTAATGATATTTCTTTCAACGTGGATGATTGCGGTGTGCTGCAATGCTGCGTGACTAATCTAAGTGTTGGGTAAAGTCATGCCACCCATTCATCCATCCGTCTATCCACCCATCCATCAATCCCTCCATCCAGTTTCCATCCATCCATTGAAACATATATTCATCATACTGCCCATTTTGTACTTTTCCACTAACCCATTTATATTTTTTTTATGCATTGTTTTCACCGTACTTTATGCTGGATCCAAACTGGTGACCGTAAATTTTCCGCACTGTTTACCATCAGGCGATATCTACTACGGCAATTGGTCAAGGCCACTTTTATCTATATAACCAGCAGAAAATGTAAGCATTCTTCATCTAAAGTCCAAAGATGAAGACACCGTTGCTCATTTTCATTCTGTCTGTCTTCCTACTTGTTGCCTGGACCAATGCCGAACACAACACCGAAGCTTCTGATGATGAAGATGAAGAGGGCCATGTAAAATACGATGAGGATGATTACTACGATGTCTTAATATCCGACGATAAGGATACTGAAAAAGAAGATATGGAAGAAGAAGAGGACGACGAGGAAGAAGAAGAGGACATAGAAGAGGTCAAAGAAGACGAGTTGGACGAGGAGTGGTATGCGCGGTACGCGCCTAAGGAAATTAAAGATGAATAGACAGTAAAAAAGTGAGCAAATTTTTCGTCTGGCAACCTAACAATTCCTTTTAATGCCTTCCTTTCATCAATTTACTTCAATAAACACCAATTAATAAAGTGTCTGATTAAATAAATTTTTTTTACATGTCTGGTTGGTGTGTAGGACACTGGAATTTGAATAATGTGGAGGGAGTTGAGCTATGGGAGGAGCTTTGAAATAGGCACAGGCAGAAGTTGGGTAGAGTATTGACACCGGTACTGGTATCATTTCGCAGTAATCTTGTATACAAGGGTGAGTGAGGCATCCACAGGAAACGCAGTCGAACCTACTTATGTCAAATAGTTTTAATCTTGGTCCCTACATCCATTTGGCATTTATCCATTGCATTTCCACTTATCCACCTATCATTCTTGCACCTCTACATACATACATCCATCCATGCACTCCAGGTCAATCCATCCCGTGTCATTCTACACCTATTTTGTTCCATTATAAATTCCTCATCAATCCATCTGCTAATTATCCATTCAGCCAACCATTCAACCTCTCTCCTTGCTTACTTTTATGGCTCTTCCAGCTAATCCTGGGAGTAGAACGTGATAAATACGGGAACGCCAAATATTATGGTGTTAGTGGACATAATTCTGTTAAAAAGACCAGAAGCAGGAAAATGTGGAATGCATCGAGGACGACTGCAGTTGGTACTAGGAAGAAAACTGGACAAGTTCAAGCCAACCAACTATCCTTTATTTCATTAATGCATCCTCTGCCAAATCTATACCTATTCACTGGACTACCCATCTGGAGCAGCTGTGTTGGATTCCGTGGCTTTCAGACAGGGCAGGATGCCATGCGCGACACAAAGGACAGCTTTGACGTTAAGTAGAATGTCAGCAATCGCTATCACGTCCCAAGCCAGGATTGCATTTCGCTTCACAGTTGCCAACTTGACCAACTTACTTAAGCAGTTGGTGTTGTCGCCGCAGTGCTCGCTATTGATGGTAATGGGTGGTGGGATTGCGCGGTCCTGTTTGAAGAAGAGCGATGGAATGAACGTTGGTGTAAATGTTGAAGACGCCTAGCCTGCTACTCTGCGTCATTGCCGCCAGCATTTGTTAGGAAAGGAGGAATTGTGTGGCGAGACTCTGCTTTTGTTTATCAGTAGCAAATTAAGTGTGGGTGAGGCAGCATTCGGCGCTGCCGATGTCTACTGTAGTCAAAACAAATCTCGATGAAGGTACATGGTACCATCCAAGCATTCCAAATCAATTTATACACCCATATGTAAACTTTTCTACTTATTTTAATTTCAGCCTTTCCCAAGTAATATTTTGACAAACTCAACTGTTTCACACAACTGCATAGTGTAATCGCTTGAAGGAATGGCTACTGTAGTGCTGAATTCGGAGGAGTCACTACATCTACGGCACTCCTGCGAGTGCATACCCACTTTACATAATGTCACCGTGGATGACGTTGCTTTAGGACTAGGAGAATAGGACCAAGAGTAGCCTGGATTGCTCCAGCAGGATTTTACTCAAACACTTCTTCCTCTTCTCCTCCCAGTGTCAATATGTCACAAAAAGTGGACAGCCGAGGATATTCATGGTCATACGGCCACACGTTCTTCTAATTTGACTTTATTGGGAGAGGGGCAGAGAGAAAGCGCAACTCATCACACGTGCTCTTAGTACCATGGGATAACTCGTTTAGCTCATGTACCGTTCAGGTGACCTCTACAATTTATACGGAGATGGGGAGGGCGTGATATCAAGGCTCATTCACTTCCCAACAAGGCACAGAAGCCAACACTGCTGTTTCACCACTGAAAGAAGTTAAAATGCCTTAGCAGAAAATATGTGCTCCAGATAGGCAAAGGTCTGGAGCTACTAGCATGGCCACAGGCCAGCCCACACCGGGAAGTTACAATGGCCAATGCACAGACTAACGCTACCCGAATCGTCACACACCCGAAGTATTGCACCAAACTAATTTCTGGGCTTTAGTAATTTACAAATTTAAATTATACAGCAAATGTGGTTTGATATTCATACAAAGTTAGTGAATGCCTAATCGCAGTTAATTTGTACAATCCACCTAAATTACACATTAAATTTAGCCTTTTGAATGCAAATTCGTGCCGTACCATTGCTTAGATGCCTGTTCGGTACAATACAAAGTTGTAAGCCTTATTTTGGTTTGAAGTTCGTGACGGAGGGTGTGTCTTGTTTTATTATTGATGCCATCTAGCACACCCGTTTCCTTGTTTTGTGTTAATTTCTTGGTTGAACAAATAAGTTCATTGTTCAGTAAGCTGTAGTCCCGCAGTTTGTGAAGTAGACCGTGAACACGCCACGACTACGGTTCATTCCGAAGGCATTTTGACATTACTGCATATATTGCACTAGTAAAATGCAATGAATCCCTAGTATCCTTAGTTTTGTATCGCATATCAGGTCCCTTCCCTCATCACCTTGTATGTCCTCTATAATTGCCTTACCATTTTTTCGTACTTGCCTCTTCTCTACGCCTTTCCCTGGTGCACAGTGCATTCTGGCACTTGTGCCTGGGTGCTTTGTGTTCATTTTTTGTTCCTTGCGTCTCAATTGAAGATTGCACAACACATATTTTGCTACTTCTCCTCCTCCTATCGTCCCACTTAAAGGAGAGCAAGTTGTTAAACCTCAATTGTTTTGTTTTGCACAATCGTCGTAATGTCTAAGGAATCATTTTTTTGGCGTATTTTAGTTATTGGGATCTCCACTTGCTCGTGTTCTGCAACCAACCACCTCGCCTTAAACGAGTTTTTTTTCTCTCTAGGTCTCCCTTTCCCCTCGTAGATGTTCTTCAGCGACAGCCTTTCTCCCGACCTCATCCTCTCCCAACTGCCTGGCTGCGACTGTCCCGATATCTGCGTTGATCCCCTTCAATGCGCCTGTCTGCGTCGTTGCGGTGGCCTCAACTACCATGCTGACCCTCAGGTTCTTTTCCAATCCACGTTGTTGCCTCTCCGCCGTCCGATCTACGAATGCAACTCCTCCTGTACCTGTCATCCCGTCTGCTGCCCGAACCGCGTAGTTCAACACCATGTGGACGACTTCAGTGCAATTGGGAGGGTGGAGACAACTTGCAAGGGTCTGGGTGCATGTGCTGTGCGGAGCATTGGATGTGGAGAATTTGTCTGCGTGTATCGCGGACTCTACATCAACCCCAGTGAAGCTGGCAGGACATCAGCAAAGCAGGCCAA